GTGGCTGCAATGATGGGCTCAAGTATAGCAGGGATTGTGGGGCTGGCGCGGGATAGGGCAGTGTTTCGTTCTGCTGTGCATGGGGTCGCTATGAGTCAGAAACGACTTGACGGCACTTAACAACAACAACAATAATTGTTAAGAGCTAGTGAACTATTCATTGTGTTTTATATGTTGACATATTTTGTCTTTTTCCATGCAAAATCTATATTTCATTATTTGCAGATATATTCAGTTAATACCCAAAGGCTAAACTTGTTTGCAATATATCAAAAATTATCGAACATAAATTACTTATTTATTATTTTATATTTTATAATTTCACTTTTAAAGAAAGAGTATCATTTGTCCTTTGTAGGTTCTTCGTGCTGGAGCCAGTCAGCGTCCTCTTACTCCCAGTCAGGGTCAGCAAGGGCAGCAAGCAGAATCACTTGCAGCAGCAAACCCAACTTTGGCTTTTGGTCAGGGTCTTGCTACCGGAATGCCAGGTATAAAATTGGTTATGAAGAAATATGAATAAATTTTAAATACAGACTCTCATATCAAAGAACGAAATATAAATCAACAAGTGTCTTTAATATCTTGCCTACCTTTCAATAGTTTTTTAGAGCTCAGATGCTAATAGTTGAAATCAAGACTGTGAGATTCAGTGATGGAGAGGACAAATGTGGTACATGAATTAGAATTCTCAAACACAGTGATTTTTTTCTTCGACTGCTTATGACATCTTTTCAGTTGAACCTAGGCCAGAATTCTCAACAGTGTGCTTTAGGAAATGAACCCAATTGGTTAAGAGTTTAGCATGCAAGATGACACCTATTTGCTATTTCTGCCTCAGTAAGAATAGTTTTGTTAATTGTATTGAGAAGTTTACAGCTAACATTTTTATACTTTGAACATTGTTCAATCTTGTTTAGTCCATTTGTAGCATTTAAAACTGTTGATATTCATAATTTAGTAGCAACAATATCTATAAAATTCTTATAAGAACCTAATACAGAGAAAATTATGACATTCTGCCTATTACCATTAAACCGTTTTTAGAAAAAGGCAACCAACTAGGTTACTGCATAATAATGATGGAAGGTGGAAGGAGAATTTTTTAAAGCCAAAAAAAGCTTCAGTTTGGTGTGGTTTTTTTGTTTTGTTTTTAAAAAGATTTTAAAGTTACTCTTAAGTATCAGTAGATATAGTTTAACTTTCCATTTTGTTCCCTCAAGTCTCTCAACATCTAAAGACTCACCTATTCTTCTGGGTATGCTATTTTAACTCATTGTTTTGCACAAGTTGCTCCTTGCTGCCTTTTTTTTTTTTAATGCCTTCCTTACCTTTCTGCATCCTTGCCCCCAGGTTCTACTGACAAAAGGGGAAAAAAAAAAAAATCTTTTTGGCCTTCTGCCTCACAGACATCATGTAGTTCTCTGATATGCCTGCTGCCCCTGTCATGACCTCATGAGCCCATTAGGCTCACCACTCTGGGGCTGCCCATATATTCAGGTCCCCTCAGTGAGCCTGAGCTGCATCTCAACCTATGGCCCCCAAACACTTCACTTCACTTCTTGCAGGCTCCCAGAACCCCTTGCTTTGAAAGATTGTTTTGTTTTGTTAATTTTTATTGTGATATGGGTGGAAGTTTACAGAGAAAATTCATTTTCCATTCAGCAATTTTGTTTCATGACATTGACAGTAATTCCCCCAGTGTAACAGCTCTCTTCCCATTTTCTCCCTATAGTTACCTCTTCTCTGTGTCTGTCTTTCCTGCCCCCTGAGCTGTCTGCCTGGCAAATATTGCCCTTCTGTTCTCCCATGATTGATTGTTCTGAAGATTGTGTCTACCAGGCATAAATGTTCACCCTGTATGCCTGTCCATTGTTTGGCTGGAAACCACAGGAGTGAGTTCAACTCCAAGCCTAAAGTTTAACTTTAGTGTCAAGGGTTTCACCAGACTCTGTTAAACCAGTAAGCCTGGTCTATTTTATGTATTTGAATTTTGTTCCACATTATTCCCCCACTCTTATCCAGGATCTCCTGCACTGATCCTTTCCAAGTAGTTGACAGTGGTAGCTGTACACCATCTAGTTTTTCTGGTCTCACAGTCATATTAGACGAGACCGATTATTGCATCTAGATGGTTCCTTGGAAGCTTTTAAGACCCCAATCACTTCTCACCAAAGTAGGATGTAGACAGTGTTTATGTGTAGTGCGTTATGCCAATAACTATATGATTGAGGGGTTCTTTTATGTACTAAATTGTACTAATAGTTCTGTATGTTATTTTGAGGATTTCTATATTAATTATAGTTACTCTATTCTTCTGTAATTCTAAGATCTGAGTTTATCATCTTTCCTGTTCCCACTGGATAAAGAGAAGTCTTTGTACTGTCCCTGAAGTACACAGTGATAATAGAGTGGGGGATGTCTCATTATTGTTCTTTTTTGTTTTGCTCCATAAATTGTTTCCAGAACTATTGTTCTGAGCCATTGTGGATTGGAGATGTTCCCCAAAACAGCCCCTCTTTTCTTAATTGACTGTGAAGCTGAAGTTGTAGGGACATGGAAATACATGAAGGAGGGCTTAAAAGAAGTAGGTTGTGAACTTATGAGTCCAGATACTGCTAGATTTTAACTACAGCTAGAAAGGGGAGAGAGTTGGTGGAACCTGGAATTAAGGGAGCATTTCTGGCCTTTGTATATTTACTGCTCCTTGTAACTATTGCTGATTTTTCTGGGTTCTTAGCACTTGGTCCTGTTACTTATTTTTTTACAAATGTCTTTGTTCTCTTCCTTCATATTCAGCTCATAGTCTTATTTCTTACCTGAGTAAGAACTTCAAGACATTTTGCTATTTTATCAAGTATAGTCTTACAATAATTTATTTATATATATGCCTTTTTTTTTCTACTCTGTGAGGAAGATCTTTATTGTTTTTTGGCTTTGTTTAACAATGAATACTATATTGGTAATTCATAAAGAAACTAACTTTTATATTTGTCTAAAAACAATATACTATATCTTTGAAGTGATGATAAAATTAAAGAGAGTAAAGTGTTTAGGAAAATATTTTAAGACAGATTACTTTACCTAAACTTTGAACTACAACATTTAGTCCTTTTGGAAATATAAACCAAAAAAAACAGTCTCAAAAAAAGAGGACTTTACTATAGTTAGTATTTGTATGTGTAAGTGACTTGTTGGCTGGTGGTTTATTTACATGGTGTCCTCACTCTGAAACTTTTTTGCTCCTCACTACGTCATTCTGCCTATGACTATGATGAAATAATTCTGAATTTCTTATTTAAATAGTTGCATAGTTATAAAGATAATTAAAAAAAAAAATAAAACTTGCTGCCATCAAACCAGTTCCAACTCATAGCAACCCTTACTGGGTTTCCAAGGCTGTAAATCTTTACAGAAGCAGACTGCTTCATCTTTCTTCTTTGGAGTAACTTAGTAGGTTTGAACCATCAACTGTTTTGGTTAGCACCCACTTCACCAGCAGAGCCTTAACCACTTCACCAACAGAGCTCTTTTATTAAGGTAATATGCTACTTTAAAAACAGCTCATTTGAGAAACTTGCTTTCAACTCTTATATTGTTCTTAAGTCTTCTACCTTCTATCCCTCTTCAACTTTTCATCCTTCAAATCCCTGATTGTTACCATATTTTGATTGTAGACTTTTAGCCCTTTTATTTTATTCTGTGTGCCATCTATTATTATTATTTGGTTTTATTTTTTCTTTTTAATCTTGTATCTTTAATCAGTCTATCCCATTTACCACCTCCTTCCCTTCAACTGTTATGCTAGTCTGACTCCTTGCTTTCATCCTAAAACTATCTCGGTTGTGCTGCTCTCATGGACTACTACAGAGCTGTAGTTTCACTGCTAACCAAAAGGTTGGTGGTTAGAACTCACCAGCCTGTGTGTGCAATAAAGATGAGCCAGTCTGTTTTCGTAAAGATTATAACCTTGGAAACCTTACGGGGCAGTTTTACTCTGTCCTGTAGGGTAACTGAGTCAGAATTGATTCGATGGCAGTAGGTTGTTGGTCATGAACTATTATCAGACCTTATGTTCTGCCACACTTCTTTTAAGCTCTGCTTCCATAATTCTTTTGCAATAGCTCTAATATTACTTACTTTGTGACATTTGGTAATTATTACCACCTCTCCTCTGTCCTTATATTTTCAATTCTGTGTTATATTTCACCATAATTAACTATATCCAACTCATTGTAACTCCTTTCTTCCAGCACTTCTATAATAGCAAACTTTCTTAGCTTTCGCTCCCCTTTCTGATTGCTTCTCATCAGTCTCCAGTTCCCTCCCTATATATCCTTAAATACAGAAGGCAGTCTGATTTAATAGCTACATGCTCTGGAGTTAGAGCTGTGATATTGCCCTGCCACTTAATCAGTTGTGTGACCTTGGCCAAGTATTACTTTCCTCTTTGAACTTCAGTTGTAATATTGGAAAAATGGAGATAAAGTCTCTCTCCTTTGGTTGGTATAGGGATTAAATTATGAGATTACGGTATTTGGTGAAGAAGGTATAAAATTAATAGTGTAAATGTAGCTAGTTATATTTTTTGTAATCCTTTAGTATTGTTTCTTTATTCCGGGTTTTACTTTACATTTATTCCTCAGGAGAGTCTTTATCTCCTTTAATCATTTCAACTATCATCCCTATGTCAGTAAACTAATGAGTTTACATCTTTATCTTAGATTCTTTTCTAATATCTCTGTACCAGATTTACCCATGTATATATTCTAGCCACTCTTCAAAGTGAAAATTTCAGAAACGGAATTCATTTCCCCAAAATCTGCCTATCTTATTGCTTACCCTGTTGTACATACTAGCTTCATTAATCTCTTGAAGAGGAGTGCTGGTGGTGCAGTGATTAAAATGTTTGGCTGCCAGCCAAAAGTTTGGTGGTTTGAACATACCAGCTGTTTCATGGGAGAAAGTTGAGGCAGCCACCTTTTGTAAAGTTTTAAGCAAATTGAGGTTTAAACTTTCATATTTTGATTTATTTATTTTAAATTGTGATTAACTTTTCTTCTCATCCTTTAATAGCATCAATTCCATGAAGCCTTCCCAATCTCTCCTTCCCATAACTGTTCATTAATAATTTCTCTTCCATTTGCCTTCCTATAGCACATTGCTTGCATGTTTTTTATTTACTTCTGGCTGCCTTGTGTTTAGATGTTGTCACTTATTTTCTTAATTCTACAGTGTTTTAACATGTTTGAGGTGGGAGATAATCTTACAGTTAAAGTGGAAGAATTTCATTTTTTTCCCCAAAAGAAGTTATTAGATTAATGTCATGTCTTAAAATCAGTGACATCTTAGAATTAAGAAAATATTATAATTCTTCTTCTCTTAGATTATAAAGTCTTTGAGTTTGGAATCCATGTCTTTTTATACTTCCCCCATAACATTTCTTTTCTTTCTCAACTATTCTTCTCTACTTCACCTCTACTTCTTCCCTTTGCTATGCCCCTACAAACACCTACCTGCTAAATAACTCTCAGTAACAAAAAGATAATGAAATGAAATGAAATTAGAAACTTTTGAACTGAATGACAGTGAAAGTGCTATATATTTAAACTCATGTATTGTCACCTAAGGAGAACATAGAGGAAGGTGAAGAATATACAGATTTAAATGCATATATTAGAAAAAAAGAAAATCCAGAAGTTAATGCACTAAGCTTCCATCTGGAAACTGTAAAAAGAGAAGAATACACCCGAAGAATATGTAGATGGAAGGAAGCAAGACAGAAGCTATAGAAGATAAGCACAATAAAAGAAATAACTTATCTCAAAATTTATTTCTTTGAAAAGACTAATAAAAGTGATAACCCTCTTGGAGGCTCATTAAAAAAGAATGAGAGAGAGAGAAAACATAAATAATCAGTATCAGGAAAATTAATTATAAGAAGAGACTATTATGAATAATCTCATGTTAATAAACTGAAAAAATGTAAACAAAATACACAAATAACTATAAAAATATAAATTCACCAGAGTCAAGAATATCTAGAAAATAATTCTTAGTACCATTAAAGAAATCAGTTTAGTGATCAAAAATCTTTCCACCAAGGAAACTCCAGGCCAAGATAGCTTCAGTGATACACCACACATTCAGAGAAGTTAACTCTAATTTTAAATAAGTTACTTCAGAGAGCAGAAAAAGAGAATTTATTCCCCAACTCATTTTATGATATTGTCATAACCTTGATAATAAAAACTATGAAACAAAGATTTCATGGTTGAAAGTGAAAATTTTTAAAAATACTGTTTACAGTAGTAGCTAGGAATAAATCTATAAATCTAAGAAAATTGCGTGATTTCTGATGGGAAATTTATGAATTTTTAATTAGACATTAAAGAGCTCTGATAACAGCAGCAATTAAGCACTGAGTTGCTAAGGAAAAGTCAGTGGTTTGAAACCCCAGACAATAGCTCCTATAAAGATTACAGTCAAGAAAATCCAGGGGGCAGTTCTCTTCTGTCTTATGAGGTTGCTGTGAGTTGGAATCAATGGTACCCAACAATAATTAGACATTAAAAGAGATCTAAATAAATATGATTGGACAGTTCAGTTGTTTTCTTTCTTTTTGTTTTTTAGATTTGGCAGAGTGTATATAACCATCTTAACCATTTTTAAGTATATAGTTAAGTAATATTAATTACATTCACCGTTTTATATACCATGTGTTTCCAAAAGTTCTTTTTTTAATCTTCCAAGCAGAGCAAAGTACTCCTTAAGCAATAACTTCCCATCCCTCCCTGTTACCCCCAAGCCCCTGACAACCACTAGTAAACTTTAGATAACTTAGTATTTTAAACATGTCTGTTCTTCCCAAATTGATCTGTAGTTTCAGTGCAATACCAATCAAAAATAAGGTAGAAGGTTTGAGCAGGGTTTTAGTATTTAGACTGTGTTTTAAAAATATTACTCTGGTGAATAGATTCTGGGAGTGCTACAGGAGAGTGTGGGCAGACCATTTTGATTTAGTTGGACCAGAATAGTGACTATCAATATACTAGATTTGTGAAATATTTAGAAATTGAAATGGACAAGTTGTGGGAGATGAATTGGCTAGGGTAGTTAATTACTCTCTTTGGTATTTTATATACGTGATTTAGCCAAGTAGCAGTTAAGTACTATTCCTCAGTAGGATATTTGTAGCCAGATGTCCAAATGATTTAAATTTTTTATTTTTTACTTTACATTGAGATGTTAATAGATGACCTTGCTTTTGAACAGGAGTATTTTCTCTTAGGTTTTAGATTGAACATACTAGTTTAAAGCATGGAAGAGCATCTCTAGCTTGAGCTTTCCCGGCAATGTGGATGTTTCATCAATAGTATGCTATTGCTTATTCTGGGGAGCTCTGGTGGCATAGTGCTTAAGGTATTTGACTGCTAACCAGAAGGCTGGTCGTTCAAACCCACCAACCACTCCTTGGAAGGAAGACTGGGCAATCTGCTTCCATAGTGATAGTGCATCAGAAACCCAAGGAAGGGTTGCTATGAGTCAGATCAGACTCGACGTCAGTGAGTTTGTTTTTTGATTTTAATGCTTATTCTTAGCCATAATTACTGTATCTATTTAAAAAACAACCTTTGCATATGAAAATGTCAGTCTTAGCGGTGAAGTTTGTATTTATGCAAGCACAGTTTGTTATGCTTGGACTGAACTTAGCCAGCCGTGTTAGAAGACTAAAATTTACTTAATGCTTTATGTATAATTTGACTGTGATTTTCTTCTTCATGGTCTTAAAACACAATTGATTGAGATTGGAGTATATTTCAATGTATTGTGTGTTTTAAAACACTTTACAGAATCAGAAGTTGCTAGTACATTTTTCCAAATAGCTATCAGGCTTTTCCAGTGTGAGTCCTTGTCATGCTGCTGTAGGGCAGCCTTCCTCAGCCTGAGTTTGGGGGGAGAATTAAATCCTGTTGCCTTAAACCATCCATTAGATGTGGTAAACTTCCTTCCTGTGCATCAGGAGTGGTGCTAGTTATGTACCAACTGGGAAAATTGAGAAAATAGTCAACTTGAATAATTTGTGTTCTGTGGTGTTTTCAGTTACCTAGTGTCACTCTAACAGAAGATACCACAAATGGGATGGCTTGAAGAAACAAGAGTTTATTCTCTCACAATTTGGAGGCTTTAAGTCTTAGTTCAAAGTTCAAGGCTCTAGGAGTGGGTGAAAACTCCTCAACCCTGAGCTTTAGCTCTGCCTCCTGCTCCCGGCCCAGTGAAGCTGGAGGCTTTTCTTCACTGAGCTGCTGGCTGCTGAGGCTGACAGGCTCAAGGTTGACCAATAAAAAGGCATAGTCCCAGTGTTACCAAACCACACAATAGGCCATTAATTCAAGTCCATTCAAGGTCCCAAGGTTCTCAGAGCATGGCAGGCTGCTGAACAATGACCTGGCTACATGCAGGGTTCAAGCATGCCATAAGCTAGAGACCATTCCCCAAGGCTTTTCCTTATGTATGGGAAGTAGAGCACATCCTTAAGGCAGCTACTCAGCTGCTCACAGTAGATTCCACCATGGAGTTGATTACCAGTCTCATCATGGGGAATACTACATTCAGCTGCCCGGCCACTCAGCCAGGCCTACCCAGGTTGACCCACAAACTTAATTACTGCATGTGGTTAGATGAGGAATTTCCCTAGAGAAAGGGCAAGGGACAAACTTGACTCTTCTGAAAATTGTAAATTGCTTCCTGCTTTGTGCTCAATAATAGCTGAAACTAATGCCTGCAATCTTACTTAAAGTCCAGCTTAAGAACCTTTTCAAATAGTCTGTTACCTTATGATTTTAAAGTATCCCTTTTGTCATGACAAGTTTTTTAAAAGATAATTTAAAATAAAACTTAAGAGAATGTCAGTAGTGAGGCACTTAGTGTAGAAATTCATTAAAATTGCATGGAAATACACATTTTTAGTGTTCTACCTCACTTCCCCTAGTCTTTTTATCCATCCTCTTCTCAGACTGACTAAATGGTGATATTTGTCTAAGCCCTTGATAGCTTATAGTTTGCACGTCAAAGAAAATATCTCTTTACTTTGTGATCCTTAAATTAAAGGCGTCTCTGTTAAAGGTATCTCTTAAAATTTACAGAAAAGGAAATTTCAATTACGTTTTATTAATTTTTCTCTGGTAAGTAAGACATTCTCAAATGTGATGCTTTTCGTATGGTAGCTATTTAAGGGTTTTTTGTTTGTAGTATAACATGCCTCTTTTTTGGTTGATACAAAAATACAAATGAAAGGGAAAGTAGAGATGAATGTTTTCGTTAGTAATCATTTATTTTAATTTTATCCAGGCTATCAAGTGCTAGCTCCAACTGCCTATTATGATCAGACTGGTGCCTTAGTGGTTGGCCCTGGAGCAAGAACTGGTCTTGGAGCGCCTGTTCGATTAATGGCTCCAACACCTGTTTTAATTAGTTCAGCAGCAGCACAAGCTGGTAAGTATTACTGACATTTTCAGGGATAATATTTTTTCTAGTGTTTTCTGAGGTATTTTAAAAATATAGAATTCTGGGTACTTTTAATATGTATCTAAATTTATATTTTATAGCGGCAGCAGCAGCAGCTGGAGGAACTGCAAATAGTCTTACAGGCACCACAAATGGTCTGTTTCGGCCCATTGGCACTCAGCCACCACAGCAGCAGCAACAACAGCAGCAGCCAAGCACTAATCTGCAGTCTAATTCATTTTATGGGAGCAGTTCTTTAAGCAATAGCTCCCAGAGCACTTCTTTGTTTTCTCATGGACCTGGACAACCTGGAAGTGCATCTCTTGGCTTTGGAAGTAATAGCTCTTTGGGTGCCGCTATAGGCTCAGCGCTCAGTGGATTTGGTACATCAGGTAAGTTTGTTTTTAAGATGAGTGTACTCTGCTAAGTCTGTATGAGGTACATGTTATTATTAATATTAAAATATGCAGTAATAGCATATAGTATAGGAAAGACAGGAATAATGCTGGTTTATGATTTAATTTTGTAAAAGAAAAGGTACCTCCTGCCAGTCTTTAAACATTTATGGATCTTTAATTCATTTCAAGCAGCCCATCGTTTTCTCAAGTATGATGTGTCCTTTCCCACTGGGTTTAGAATTATATTCCTGTAATTTTGTTTTTGTTAGTTTTGTTTGGAGCAATATATGGTATGCTAAACTAGTTCATTCTTGTGTTCTCCATAATATTAGTGTGTGAGGAGCTAAATATTTTTCCATCTTAAAGTTTTGATCTTCTAAAATAATCTTTGCTTATCACATGTTTTATTCTTATTCAGTGCTGTTTGTTCATTGTGGTTTTGTTTATTTGACATAATGTATAATAAAAAATATATAATTAAATGCTCTAGACAGAAGCCCATAATTAACTATCAGTTTGCGTGTTTTTATTTTAGATTAAATACTTAGCCTTTGTCACCTACCCCCCAAAAAAAGAAAGGTAAAAGATTATTTCTTCCCATATTCTGCACTGTTCACCACTTAAGAAATCCCATTGTTAAATAGCTTCACAAAATAATTTATCTACACAAACTGGTTCCTAGATTTTGTGACTGAGTTAAAGAACTAAGTGAAGAGGCCCATGTTGCCTCCAGATTGACACACTGATGCATTATATTAGAATTCTCTGAGGTCTCTAGAATATTTCAGAAATATTTTAAAAAAAAAAATTTTTAGTTTACCGTAGTTGGTAGTATCAGCAAGGAGCCTTTTCTTCATGAGGGCAGGGTTCAAGGCTCAAAAGACTTTCTGTTTCTACAATATCCTGTTAATACTGCTTTTCATCTGTTTTCCCACCAAACTGAATTATATTCTTTTCTGGTGTGGAAAATAGCAAAACTAACATATGTGAGTTGTTATTAAATATGCTTGCTGGTTTTCTACTGAAATGTCTTCTACACTTTAGACATTTACATTTATAAAAGCTATAAACTTTAGATGCAGAATTCTTCTTTTTTTAAAAAAAAGGAAGAAATAGAATAGAATAGAAAAGTGCCGTACTTGCCTAATAAAATAATCTGAAGAATGGGCACAAGAAGTTTTGAGGTAAGGGTAAATTTAGTGAACATGGGAAATGTTCATTCTTTTACTTTTCCTGCTTAGGTTTTTTTTCAACCTTTTTTGGAGTTCAATACTTTTATCTCTAGCTCAAGCACTCCCATAGGATTCATTCTTTGTTTCTAACACAACTGACATGAGTGTTTTTTCTCCCCAAGAATTCTAAATATGCAGGGTAAACCAAAAAATATGTAACTTTAAATTTACTTATTTTTTTTTTATGGAAATATTTTCTAAAGTATAAATTTTAGACTCTTAAGTAATTCAGGAAAAATACAGAACAGCTTTGATTTAAAAATAAAACTATGTTCCTTTCTCCTGATAAAATGTATCAGTGATGGTCTGGTATAGCTCTTCAGGCCCCTTACTTGGTTCTTCCAAATTCCCATTCTCTTAGTTGTTAAAACATTCCTGTGCATTTTAGTTGACATAAATATTTTTTCCTTTAAAATATCCCCTGCTGATGCCTCTTTCCCAAAAGCTGGTATTTACTTCTTCATTCCTTCTTTATTTATAAGCACTGCTTACTCAATTCTGATTTCCAATGTGAGGTACCTCTGTTTTACTTAGCTTCAAAGGGCATTAGTGATTGCTACCCCTGAATGCCAGTAAATAGCCTGTCATCTTCTCCCTCCTGTTGGACATTTTGTGAGAGTTCAAGTTCTATGTGTATATACTCTTACAAGTCTACCTTTTGGCATTTCACATGACAGTTGCATACCTATATGAAATCTAAAATACAAAGTAGTTTTGTGCTTATGTACATATAAAATTAGCATGCATATCATTGTCTTACCTATAAGGTTAAATTTTTAATGTTTGAATGTGGTAAATACCCTAATTTATAACACAGCTGACCAGGAAGCTTAGCCATTTAAATATAGGAATTAAATAATCCTTTTTATGGCCCATTATTATTTAGAAAATGGAATTACAGTTGAAAATTTGTAATTTAACATTTTGTACACAGTTGGTGGATGATTAGTAACTTGGTGACTTCATTGTCTAGCTGCTTAGATATTTTAGCTATACTTTGTTTCATATTTCACTTCTGCAGATAATTTAGGTGTATAATAAGACTTAAAGAGCCAACTTGTTTATATTTAAAGTGAAGTAATTACTGAATTTTTTAAAATGTTTGACTTGCCTTTTCCTTTTTTGGAGGAAAATAATATTGCATGTATCAAAACTATGGTTTGTTGGTTATTTGCCAGTGCAGTAGTGCTGCTGATCTCATTAGAGAGCTAATGTCTTTTTCTTTGTCAGTGAAATTGTTTTCTAAAATAAATAGGAATTTTAAATGTAGTCATATTTTAGGAAAATCACTTTGACAGTGTCCTTTTAAATTAGCATAGTTAATATAACGTACTTGACAGTTTCGCCAAAACCAACTCAAGAACTATTTATTACATTAGTGTCTATATTTCTTTTTGCCATTAAAATGCATATAATTAACTTACTATTTTCCTATTAAGAAGATACTTTTAAATGTGAGGTTGTCAGTAAAACATGATCAGTCTTTCATAAATAGCACTGGCTGGTATAAAAAGTTCAATAGCATAATATTTTGCCTAATATTGTAGTGTGAGGCTTTTTTGTTTGTTTTGTTTTTTTAATCTTTGTAGAATTTTGAATTTTTTAAAACCAATGTAATCAAGTTTTCTGTCTGTCTTAATTTGGGATACCTACCATGTGCTCTGCTTAATTTTTCTCTTTAATCTATATCCTGTATGGCCTATATGACTTACTATTAGAAAACCAAGACTTAATAGAAACTTTAAAATTTTCTTGAAAGAATTGCCATATTGGTCCAAATATAGAGATTATCCTTTACAAATTTATTTGAAAAGAAATCTAATATGAAATTCCCTGATATGTAGAAGGCACTGGATTAAAAGAGGCTAATGCTTAGAAACAAGAAACGTACTTGAAAATATAAGCTCTCAGTGAGACTTAAGAGTGAATCATTATAGGCAGCCTTACAGATGTGGTAAAAGAATGTGATTATCCAATTTGTGTTAGTTAACAGCTAAAACTTGAGCTGCTCTACTGAGCATTTGTAATTCATCAAGGTCTTCATGGTAATGTGATTCTGCCTTTTTTTTTTTTTTTCCCATTATTTCTTGGAATACAGGGAGGTAAAATGGGTTAATTAATAGTTGAATTTGAGATTAAGTCAAAAGAATTGAGTATATAGTACAATAAGGATGTAAGATAAGAAAAATTGTACATTAATCAAAGGGGGAAAACTGATCAGTCTTTACTTGTGGAAGAATCTCAGGATGTTAGTAATAGAATCTTAGGAATGGAAGAGTCCTGAGGGGTAAGTAAAAACATGTCTTATGGTATGATAACAGTAATGAGAGGTAATAATTTTCTAAAAGACAGTTGGTAAACTGCTGGAAAGTAGGGAGAATTTGTAGTATGAAAAGTACTGAGGATTTGCCATCTGTATTTCACAACTGCCTGATATTCGGGCCAATATGAACTGTGGTTTAAACACAGGCTAGAAGCCAAATCAAATATGAATGGTGAGGGAAATGTATTATTATTCTATTAATCAGTGTAATCCTTTTTTTTTTGGCATTGAGTTAAAAGGCTGAGAACTAGGTTCTAGAGATTAGGACACTACCAGAATTTTATCTTACTGGAATTTAATCTCTAACATGTCCTAAAGGAGATTACTTTTATTAGGAGGGTATATAATCATACTAGGGTATTAAAGCACAATAATCATATGTGTCAGTGGTAAATATGTGTGAAATAATGAAACATATGACTGCTCTGTTAAGTGTTTTAGTTACTGTATTGGGGTGCATTTATACCCTTTTATGATTAATAAATTAGTATATATAGTTATCACAGTAATTATCTTCTCCATAATGTTTCTAAAAATAATTATTGTGATCACTTCTTTTATTGCCCAGCAAGAGTTGGGGATAGGTTTTATTCAGTTAACACTGTATGTAATTAGGGTTTTTTTTATTTCTTCTTCAGTTGGCAGTTCTGCAAGTAGTAGTGCCACAAGGAGAGAGTCTCTATCTACTAGCTCTGACTTGTACAAAAGATCTAGTAGCAGCCTAGCACCCATAGGGCAACCATTTTACAATAGTCTGGGATTTTCCTCCTCTCCAAGTCCAATAGGCATGCCTCTGCCAAGCCAAACTCCAGGACATTCACTTACGCCACCGCCATCACTTTCATCACATGGATCCTCATCCAGTTTGCATTTAGGTAAAAAAAAAAACCAAAACCCTTTTTATTTGTATGTATACATGTATGTGTGTATGTGTATGTGTGTGTTTATAATATATGTAAAATATTTAATGTTGGATAAAACATGCCAAATTGCTTTTGCTTTTAGATATTAGCCTTTTGAAAAGATTCTGCTTTTCTGAAAACTCAAAGTGAGGGTCTGATGTACAATAAGGTAAAGACCCCCTATTGTACTTTATGTTTCTTTTATGAAATACAATGGTGTGTTTTTTCTTGTCTGTGCTTTTGATTTGTGTGTGTTTTAGATCATCTGAAAAGTCAACTATTGATACATGATAGCGAAAGAGGAATTTCGCTATCAAATGTTTTTGCACACCAGAAGAAAACATTAGTCACATAGTTACTGAACTTAAATCATTCAGTTTAGAACAATGGTTTTTGCTTTGCCTTTTGAATGCCTGGGCACTTAATCCAAATGGTTATATTAGAGAGTGTTGATTTAAGTATGTTTGTGAGTTAGAGAAGCTTAGGATTTGGTCCATATATTTCTTTAATTTTTTATTGTGGTGTTAATTTAATATA